TGAGTCACAATAATAATATAACAATAATTAAATATTGTTCAATTCTATATTCTTCTAAGATTTCTATTACCATCATTAATTATTCCCAAATTTAACATAATTAAATAATTTGACCAATTATAAAGAAAGATTATTAAATAATGCACGAGACAATTGTTTAATTAAAAATTTTAAAAATTCATTAATAAAACATAAGGTTCTCAAAGTTTTTTCTTAGAAACTCTTTAATAAAGTATTTTTTTTAGAAATTGGTGGGCCAAACCGCCTGCGGCAGTTTGCGGTGGATAGATCTCGAAAAAATACACGATTTCAAAAAAACATTTGTCCAAAACGGACAATGGAGTCAAAAGTTATACCGTGCCGAACTTTTGACACTTTACAAATTAAAAAAAAAAAAAAAAAAAAAATTAAAGACCGGTTCAGCCGGCGAGGCGGCAGCTGAGGAGGCCGATTCCGGCCTTCCTCGCCGCGGCCAGCGACACGATTTTTGCAACACTGATATATAAAATAGATATTAATTAGAATAGGAATAGTATTACACAATTTTATAATATTACAATAAAATTTTAACCAAGAATTATTGTAGAAATCAATATATTTTATTAGGAAGAGAGATGTTTTAGGAATTGGGCGGGAAGTTAAAATTTCAGGATTTTGTTTTTATATATAGTATAGATATAGATTGTATTACACTATTTTATAATATTAGAATTGAATTTTAACGCAGAATTACTGTACGAATGTGAGAGTAGAAATCAACATATTTTATTAGGAAGAGAGATCTTTTAGGAATTGGGCAGGAAGTTAAAATTTCAGGATTTTGTTTTTATATATAGTATAGATTGTATTACACTATTTTATAATATTATAATAGAATTTTAACGCAGAATTACTGTACGAATGTGAAAGTAGAAATCAATATATTTTATTAGGAAGAGAGATCTTTTAGGAATTGGGCGGGAAGTTAAAATTTCAGGATTTTGTTTATATATATACTATAGACTATAGATTGTATTACACTATTTTATAATATTAGAATAGAATTTTAACTCAGAATTACTGTACGAATGTTAAAGTAGAAATCAATATATTTTATTAGGAAGAGAGATTTTTTAGAAATTGGGCGGGAAGTAAAAATCTAAGGATTTTATTTTTATATATAGTATAGATTGTATTACACTATTTTATAATATTAGAATAGAATTTTAACGCAGAATTACTGTACGAATGTGAAAGTAGAAATCAATATATTTTATTAGGAAGAGAGATTTTTTAGGAATTGGGCGGGAAGTTAAAATTTTAGGATTTTGTTTTTATATATACTATAGATTGTATTACACTATTTTATACTATTAGAATCGAATTTTAACGCAGAATTATTGTACGAATGGGAAAGTAGAAATCAATATATTTTATAGGAAGAGAGAGTTTTAGGAATTGGGCGGAAAGTTAAAATTTCAGGATTTTGTTTTTATATATAGTATAGATTGTATTACACTATTTTATAATATTAGAATAGAATTTCAACGCAGAATTATTGTACGAATGTGAAAGTAGAAATCAATATATTTTATTAGGAAGATAGATGTTTTGGGAATTGGGCAGGAAGTTAAAATTTCAGGATTTTGTTTTTATATATACTATAGATTGTATTACACTATTTTATAATATTAGAATTGAATTTTAACGCAGAATTATTGTACGAATGGGAAAGTAGAAATCAATATATTTTATAGGAAGAGAGATTTTTTAAGAATTGGGCGGGAAGTTAAAATTTCAGGATTTTGTTTTTATATATAGTATTGATTGTATTACACTATTATATAACATTAGAATAGAATTTTAACGCAGAATTACTGTACGAATGTAAAAGTAGAAATCAATATATTTTATTAGGAAGAGAGATTTTTTAGGAATGGGGCGGAAAGTTAAAATTTTAGGATTTTGTTTTTATATATAGTATAGATTAAATAACTAAAAATGAAAATATTAATTAAAGAATATTAAATATAAGAGAAAAAACTAGTTTGGTTGGCGTGAGTGAGTGGCTGTGTAAAGGTCGGGATTTCGAACCTGCTCTCGTATGAAAAAATTAAGCTAGCTAGCACTACAGTTAGAGCTTGTTCAGGCCACCTCGTGGTCGCCCCCCACATTTTGGCTAGATAGAACATTTAGGAGGATGTAAATTATGGTGACTCAATGGCTCATCAGACATGACCAAATACTGGTGCACACAAGAGATTTGTCCACTTTGAGCACAATCTCTACACTGTTACCGCCAAAATTTAAACCTTTGAACTAAGCCCGTGCGAGTTGATTAAATAAACCATGTAAGTATTGTAGGCCAATTGTTATACCCTGCACCACGGCGCACAGTGCACTGTGCGCCCCGCGCCTCTCAAAACGACATGATTATATATATATTTTTTGAATGTTACTGGCTCTATGACAATGTAGTATCTGTTCATATACTTTCTCAACCTACTGAAACACAAAGAACCAATAACGCCTCCACTGAGACTCGAACTTACAACCTTCCAAATGGAAGTCCAACCCGAGTACCATTAGACCATATAGTCCTGGTAATTATGTATATTTTTTATTATGTACATTTTTTATACAATTATGTACATCCGAATCAGGAAATTTTTGTGTATTATGTTAAGAGTTGATGTGTATTATGTTAAAAGTTTATGTTTATTATGTATTATGTTAGATTATGTGTATTATCTTTTAAAAAAGAATATGTGTATTTTGTTATATAATTATGTACATTCATGTATACAATTATGTGTATTCTAGTATAACATTATGTGCATTTTTGAACATGAGATTTTTTTAAGGAAAATTAATTGCCAAACACTGGGTAGCGAAATTTCAAAAAAAATAAAATAAAATAAAATAAAACGAAGTCGTTTTGCATCTGGGCGCACAATGCAACGCGCACCGTGGTGCAGGATAAAAATTGCCATTGTAGGCGGTCCATTCATTTTCCTATAGTTTCTGCCTTTCTGGTTCAAAAAGGCAAATTATGCCCTGGACCCGTGTCCACAGTGAATTGTGGACACGGGCCAAAAACGACGTCGTTTTTCAAAAAAAAAAATCGCGCGCGTTTTGCCGTTAACGGCGTTATTTTTTTTTTTTTTTTTTGGATTATGAATGTATAGTTATGCCGTTATGAATGTACAGTTATGCAATTATGAAATTATGAACACAGAGCTCTAACATTATGAACTTACAATTATGAACATATATAGTGATAAAATTATGACCATGGAGCTTTAAAATTGTGAATATAGAGCTTCGAAGATTATGAATGTACAGTTATGGAGTTATGAATCTACAGTTATGGAGTTATGAATCTACAGTTATGAGATTATGAATCTACAGTTACGGAATTATGAATGTACAGTTATTGATCGAATTATGAACAAAGAGCTCTAACATTATGAACTTACAATTATGAACATATAGTGATAAAATTATGAACATAGAGCTCTAAAATTGTGAACATAGAGCTTCGAAAATTATGAATGTACAATGATAGAGTTATGAATGTACAGTTATGGAGTTATGAATGTACAGTTATGGAGTTATGAATGTACAGTTATAGAGTTATGAACGTACAGTTATGGAGTTATGAATGTACAGTTATTAATAATATAGTAATAAAATTATGAATATATACTCCTATAACGAAGCGTCTGAAATTAAAAAATAAAAAAATAAAAAGAATAAAAAAGAAAATAACAGTGCCTAACGGCACTGTTACCCGTGTCCAGCAAGCATGCTGGACACGGGTCCAACGCATAACGATTGGTTCAAAAACCAAATGAAAGAACTAATTTAAAGCTACAAGTTTTAAAATATTGGTTCGAAACTATTGAATTGGACCTTATGTGAATTCAATGTGGACCCGGTCCAAAATACACACTTTACATATTAAATGTTCATAATTTTATAAAAACTCTGAACGTTTAATATATAAATTTTGAATATTCATTATATAAATTATGTATTTTGGACTCAAATTTACCTGGTATAACAACTATACTTTGACCACTTATGAGTCAACAAATTTTAGAAGTACTAGCCATCCTTTTGGGTCATTAAAAAAATGACAAAATGGAATTTAAATTTTACGGAAAAAGAATAAAATTATATTTTATCAGGTTCCAATTGAGAATTTTTTTTTTTTTTTTTGGTGAGAACTTGTTAACTAATGTGATTCCTTAATCCAAAATGATGATTATATTGATGAAAGACTAAAAAATAAGAATTCTTTAAAAAAAAAAAAAGTGCGGTCAATTTGATGAAGTTTGTAATATTTATGAAATTGATATCCCATTTTCTTCTCTTATTTTCCACCATTGATCCTCCTAGGATAGATGGATCACATTAGTCTGATTTTATATATAATATTCTATTATTTGGGTAGTAAGAAAGAAATTACTGGTAATAGGCTAGTATTGTACGTTTTAACATGTCTACTCTACTTTTAAAATATGGTAGAATTAGCGTAGTGGTTTGTCGTCTGACTTGATGTCACAACAGAAGGCCGCTAGGCTCAAATCCTACCGAAAATATGAATGAGAAAAAGACTCATGTTGATGAAATGTGTGAGTTAGATCTCTTATGTGCGTAAAAACTAGAATCTGATTGGTAGGTGGATTAATTGCACGACTCCCAAAGAAAAGCGAAATTGAGATTACCTAAGTATATCTAGGATATTGAACAGCAGGCCGGCCATCACCACAAATCATATATTTAGGCACGAGTTCTGAACTACTGTCCAATGCACACATCCAAAATGTATAGCAAAACATGCTTTCACTTCAATCCACCCTAAAATATAATACCACCAATCTTAAAGTCACAGTATCCTTAATATTCACACACTATTACACAACACCATTTATACCTTAACTTTAAAGCAACCTCAATCCATCATCTTCAATTCCTATATATATCTCCCCCCTCTCATCTCCTTCCATCCATCCATTAACCATTCAATTCTCTTCTCTTACACAATCAAATAATGGCTTTCTGCTACTCAAACTTCTCCCTTCTGGCATTGCTTTCCCTCTCCCTCTTTGCTGCTTCAACTTTTGCCAATGAGTTCTCCATTGTAGGCTACAAGCCTGATGACTTAACCTGCATTGACAAGCTCATCAACCTCTTCGAATCCTGGGTCGAAAGGCACGGGAAAATATACGAGAGCATCGAAGAGAAGCTGCACAGGTTCGAGATTTTTAAGGAAAACTTGGAGCACATCAATGAGAGGAACAAGAACGTTAAGAACTACTGGCTTGGTCTCAACGAGTTTGCGGATTTGAGCCATGAAGAGTTCAAGCAAAAGTATTTGGGATTGAATAAGGCTAGTGGTGAGAAGAGAGATAAGTCCAGTAGTACTGATGAAGAAGAATTCACTTACAGAGATTTCGTTGAGCTTCCAAAATCTGTTGACTGGAGGAAGAAAGGAGCTGTCACTCCTGTCAAGAACCAAGGTTCATGCGGTATGTATATATGTGTCTGGTTCGATTAAAGAGATTTGATGAAGTTATTTGTATTAGAAACTACATTAAAAGTGGTATTAAATACGAACGAATTATAATAGACAGGTAAAATGGGACAGAGAGATTGGGGTATATTATTTGAGTTGGAATGTGATTTGATTGTTGTGTTGGTTGCAGGGAGTTGCTGGGCGTTTTCAACGGTAGCAGCAGTGGAGGGCATAAACCAGATAGTGACGGGGAACTTAACGTCTTTGTCTGAGCAAGAGTTAATCGACTGTGACACAACCTTCAACAATGGGTGCAATGGAGGTCTTATGGATTACGCCTTTCAGTTCATCATCTCCAATGGTGGACTTCACAAGGAGGATGACTATCCTTATTTAATGGAGGAAGGCACCTGCGACGAAAAGAGGGTGAGTCATTATCTAAGAGTGTGTACTGAATAAACTTGATCTTAACTGGTAAAGGATCAATTCACTAGGACTTTTCCTAACTAGAGTCGAACTTGTAACCTTGTGGTTATCAAATTAACAGTTTGGCCAATTTGACTGGAGTACGATTACCCTAATTCGTACATTATATTGTGAATGCATACTAAGAGTTCATATTTATGTATCCAGGGTGAATCAGAGAGTGTGACCATTGATGGCTATCGCGACGTGCCCAAAAACGACGAGCAGTCGCTCCTGAAAGCACTGGCAAACCAGCCTCTCAGTGTAGCCATTGAGGCATCGGGTCGCGATTTCCAATTTTACAGTGGGGTAAGGAATTATCTATCAGTTTAGCCTTTTAGTTGAAACAGAACAGATTTTTCAGTACAAACTTATGACGTATGTTTTATCATATAATGTAGGGTGTGTTTGATGGGCATTGTGGAACTGAGCTTGATCATGGAGTTGCAGCAGTGGGGTATGGATCTACAAAGGGAATGGATTATATCATTGTGAAGAATTCATGGGGACCAAAATGGGGAGAAAAGGGATTCATCAGGATGAAGAGAAACACTGGCAAATCTGAAGGCATTTGTGGCATTTATAAAATGGCTTCCTATCCTACCAAGAACAAGAAGAAATGATCTTGTGGCCCACATGCCTAGCCTGTTTTCTGTTTTCTGTTTTCTGTTTTCAGTACTACTTCACATTTGTTTCTTAAACATACATTTGCTGCTATAAGTTTCATTTATTAATATAATATCCTATATATGTACTCATGCATAACATTGGATTGGATTATAAACCAATTAATCACTCTTTTGTTGTTTCATGAAATACCTCTAGTCAGGCACTTTGATTCAGTGTTCTTTTACTTTGTGCGTCTATTAGCGAATTTGTTGGCCCATTCCTTAGCTCAAGCGAGTGATTCTCAAACTGGTTTATCTATTTGGTTATCTTCTATTCTTCATTGTATTAAACATTTCTTTCAAAAAAAAAAAAATCAACATTAATAGTGTAGATTCATAATTTCTATACTGTAGATTCATAACATGCATCTATACTGTAGATTCATAATTTGTAGATTCAAAATTTCTATACTGTAGATTCATAATTTTTGTACTGTAGATTCATAATATTTGTACTGCGAAGACGAAATAATGTGATTGCGAAGAGAGAAACGTCGTTAACAACAAATAAAAACAAAATTATGAATCCATAGCATAGAAATTATGGATCTACCCCTGTGTTCACCATGCGCATGGTGAACACGTTTTCACAGCAAAATTTGCAATAGTGTAGTAGATACTATGTTTGATCCGAATACAGATATATGTGGTAACCAGGAATTTCTATATATAAGTTTAAACCAGGAAAAAGTAGAAAAATGTCTCAATTGCACATATTTTACCTGTTTAATGGTTTAATTGCACATTTTTTAAGTTTAATGACTCAATTGCACAAAAGCAATAGTAACATTTTTTTTTTTTAATTCTGAGTGGTCTAAGTTTTCACTATTAGGAGTTGAATTCATATGGAATCTAGATAGTTCTCATCTTCTCAGCCTCTCAACGAAAAACTGAGAATAGAGAGATACTAGAAGAGGAAAATAGTATATAATATACACAATTAAGTGCACTCTCCGATCCAATCGGAATGACTTGCCACTAGTGCATGTATTCTAAACTCAAACATATTATTGTTTATATATTTCTATAAGTACAAGTCATATATAATAATGTCAATAATGCAGAATAAATTCTTGCACTCTAAATTCTCATCTACCTCCATCAATTGGCAAACTAACTAATATTCCAACAATGATCATTTTTAGAATAGTTTGAAAACTATGCATTGCAACAACTAACACAAGGTAAGGAATCCCATGCATTTTTACTGCAGGGAAAGGCATCTGCCACCAAACTAAAAGAAAAAAAAAAAAATATTTTCACCCGCATTGACTTAACTCAATATTTCAGTAGGTAATATTTGGGAGAAGAGACCAATGTTCAAAACTCGCGGCAATGTAGGGGTGTGCACACTAACATTTCGTCATGTCTGTTGAGTTGTTAAGTCACCGTAATTTACATCATCTCAAATGCTCCATTGGGTCGGAGTGTAGGGGGGCCTTGGGGTAGCATAGAGGAAAGGGGAATTTTTTTTTTTTATTTTTCATTTATTATTATATTTCTCTTTCTCTTCATCTTGTTTTAGTATACATAAAGGGAAGGAAAAGGCTTGAGGATAAAAGTGTTATGTATCTTTGGTAATAGACTTGAATTGTAACAATTTAGTGTCATTGTTAAACTAATAAACTGTTAAAAGTTTGGGCCATCCTGACCAAGTTGGTCAAATTGTAACAAATAATACCGTGAATTATGGTCCACATTGCATTGTGAACCATGATTCAAAATGATACTCAAATTATGTTTGAACTAACATATTATGTGTATGTGAATAAATTGAAGACATATAATATTTTAACTATATGTATATAATATGCAGTTAATATATTATGTATGTACTTAGCTTATTAAGTGTTTTCAATTTATTTACAGACACATAATTTATTAAATTAAAGACATATAATATGATAATTGCAGACACATAATTTTTGAACCATGGTCTGCTTTAGTATAAAATTAGTTAAATTGTTTGCTTGATAATCACAAGGTTCCAAATTTGATTCTCAGTCCTAAAATAGTGACTTTTCTTTTAATTTCTTGTACAATGATAAGATATTTTCAAATTTACTCACTTTTCCTTTTAGTTTTTACCCTTATTTACAAACTTTAACAATGAAATATTTCTTCATTTATTAATTATTACTCCGTATTATTATTATTATATTGACTTGACTTTTTACAATATATTTTATAACATAATAATAATAATAATAATAATAATAATAATAATAATAATAATAATAATAATAATAATAATAATAATAATAATAATATTATTATTATTATTATTATTATTATTATTATTATTATTATTATTATTATTATTATTATTATTATTATTATTATAACAATCAAATTAGTGTACAACATAAAAAGAACTCATGAAACTTCTTTTTTTTTTTTTTTACTTTTTTATTATTCTTTTATCTTTTGTGGTAATAATTAAAATTAAAATATAATAATATTCACTTAATTTTATTTTTTCTTTTAGCCATCAAGAAAGGTGAAAGATATTATATTTTTAATCATTACCCTAAAAATTAATGTCGTATTAGAATTATCTTAAGAATGCATTATGTTCTATTTGCTTAAACCAGATCTTATTGATTGTAGCGCATATTTTAATTTTGTATTCTAGAATTATATTGCTTCAATTAGAATATACATTTTATTACAAATTTAAATGAAAAAATTATTATTGAATCAATTTTATAAAGAAAAAAATTAGTATTTTAAAATATCAATGAGATTTTCAAAATAAAAAGTTTACATATAACTGCAATTGAAATTTCAATCATATACTCAAAGAATACTAACTTCATTGCATCACTTTAATTACATCAACAACATCAGTAAATCTATTATAAATTTATATGCATGTTATTTTTTACACCAAAATAAAAAAATAAAAAAGGGAAAATGACACTTTTTCCCCCTTTGTTATATACTTATAGCACTTTTTCCCCCTAAATTATTTAAGTGGCAGTTTTTCCCCCTGATATATTAAATGGACATATTTACCCTTAAAATAAATATTTCATTTATTTTTCTTCTCCAACAAATTATAACCACGATTTGAAAAAATAAAATACATTAAGTGTTAAATTCAAAATATTTTAAAAATAAAAAAAAATAAAATTTTAAAAGAAAGTTTGAACCAACCGTTCAAATTGGATCCAAAATCGTGAACCGACGGTTCAAAATAAAACTCAAATCGCGATTATATATACTTATATGTGAGAGTCAATATAAATGCGGGAAAAAATATACACTATTTGCAAATATTATAATTCTAATTTAAGCTATTGCTAGTAGTTGTTCCGATTTGAACCTCCGGTTCACGGTTCAGGATCCATTTTTTTCCAGTTCACGATTTTAATAAACGGAAACCCAAATATTGGGTTATGTTATGAATCATAATCGAAATTTTTTAATTTGATTGCTATAGTGTTTGGTTCAGTTCGAACCGAACCGTGGTCATCCCTACGTATAAGTAATAATTTGGTGAAGAAGAGAAAAAAATAAAATATTTGTTTTAAGGGTAGAAATGTCCATTTAATATTATCAGGGGGAAAAACCACCACTTCTATAATAATTGAGGGGACAAATGTGAATGCATGAATAACTCAGGGGGAAAAAGTGCTATAAGCATATAACACAAGGGGAAAAAGTGTCATTTTATTGAGTCATCAGTGATAATCAAAATTATATTTAAAAAGACTAGGGAAAATGGCACTTTTTCCCCTTGAATTATATGGTTATAGCACATTTTCCCCCTGAGTTGTTCATGTAAGCACATTAGCCACCTCAATTATTTTAAAAGTGGCAGTTTCTCCCCCTGATATATAAAATTGACATTTCTACCCTTAAAGAAAACATTTTATTTATTTTTCTTCTCCAACAAATTATTGCTTATACGTAGGGATGATCACAATTCGATTTGAACTGAATCGGACACTATAGAAATCGAATTGAAAATTTCCGGTTATGACTCAGATCCAGAACCCAATATTTGGATTTCAATTTATTAAAATTATGAATCGAAAAAATTGGATCCTGAACCGTGAATCGACGTTTCAGGTCCGGTTCGCGATTTTGAACCGTCTTTATTTTAAAATTTTTATTTATTTTTTATTTTTTAAATAGTCTAAATTCAACAATAAATGTATTTTTTTTAAGTTCGGAACATGAACCTGCCGTTCCGGTTCGTGATTTTAATAAACTCTAAATATCAGGTTTCGATTCTAAATTGTAATTGACTTATTTCAATTTAGTTGCTATAGTGTCTGTTCGGTTTGAACCGAATCGTGGTCATAATTTGTTGGAGAAGAAAAATAAATAAAATATTTTAAGGGTAAAAATGTCCATTTAACATTTCAGGGGGAAAAATAGTCACTTAAATAATTCAGGGGGAAAAAGTGCTATAAGTATATAACATAAGGGGAAAAAGTGTTATTTTCCCAAAAGACTATTTAATTTAATATATACAGAGTAATTGTTAGGTCATAATTTTTACTTTCCCTTCTAACTATCTAAAATAAAACTCCTCTTTTCTGTTACTTCTTATTACAAATTGGAAATATTTATTTATAATTATATTGAAAATAATCAATTCTATTTTATATTGATTAATTTTCATATACAGACACTATATTAATTATTTACTTATTTTAATTTTTACATTGGGCATTAATTTAGTCACACAATGCTGTACTACAACTAGTTAATGAAAAAAAAAATAAATAAATAAAAATAAAACTAAACACCAAAATGATGAGCCTCTTTTCATACTGTGAAGATCAGCTCTGTAAAATGGTTAAAAGTAGAAGAAATGTTGAATAAGAAAGAAGTCTGAGATTATTGTTATGCCCAATTCAAGAATCCAAAATGTGTGAATTCTGAAATACAATGCAGGATGGATGCAACTAATACAGACACCCAGCAACCTGAATCTGGGAGGTTTGAGGTTTGAGGTTTGCCCACATAAGACAGAAGAATCATATGTTGATTCTAATTACACATTTTTACAATGTGACGACTGACGACATTATAGAGAGCGCGCCAGAAACCGATTCCAGCGTTCCCTCAATGCAGCATGCACGAGATTCTGCCCGTCTATCCCCGAGACAGCCAGAACGCCAAGGTCTAGATACACGACGATGTAATGATCTTAAACGAAAGGTTCCATCTGCACCTTCGGTAACCATCGGGAGCGATTCAGATATTGAGCTCTTTGGTGAGTGTGCGACGACTATGTATGACCTGCATTACAAACATAATCAATACTAAATTTCATAATTTTATAATTCATAGTCGTTCCCATGGTCACTCAACTGGGCTATAATGCACATGGGCCAAATCACACTAAAAGATTGAATCCAACCAAATAGCTAGTCTAACCCTTTGACCTTATAAACCCATATATCTTAAACTTATTTTATCAATGTGACTCTTAACAGGGAGGAAAACGCCACAATGAAGCAAATTGTGTACCTCTAAAATGCAAAGCGAACAACTTGCAAGGCTAGATTTGAAGCCCGCCACTCGAGTAGCAGTACTGCTGTTCTTAGTCCTGCTGCAGTCTAGGAGTACCTTCAAAACCCGTAGAAAAATAAATTATTGGAAAATATCATTTGGGGTAAGGAAAACGGCGACTTGTATAAATATTATCAATCACCTTGATCAATCCTCTCACCCAGCGTTTTGGTCAGAGCCGCTACCTTGCATGAATTGAGGAGAATGAGTAGGTAGTAAAAACTGCGGTTGAGGCGCAACAGGCATCGCAACACCTAACATTACCAAAAATAATTCCCTCATGTTAGATACTTACAAATTGTAAATCATCAATTTATTTATTTTGGTCAGACCACGAGGTGTCCTGAGCAGACCCTAACTGTAGGAGGCACTTTTAAGCCCATACCATACTCAGACTAATCCCCGTTCGCACCGGGTCGGCCCAATTCAGGGGCAAAGTGCTGGCCAGATTGGTTTTTCCAGACAAGAGGCGGTCCGAACTCCCGACCTCTCTTAAGGGACGAGAGTGCACAGCCACTCACGCCAACCAAGCTGGTTCAAGTGGAAGTTTTTTGTTTTTCGGGACATCTTGATCAAATGCGGGAAATAATTGGACACCAACATAACAACGTTCATATAAAGAGATTCTACATTTCTACCTGTAGGATACGGTGCTTGAATAGTTGGAAGGGAAGAATTCGTTACTGGACTGACATTGGGTGCACCAAACTGCACGACCTGGTGGCCAGGCATTGCGTAACCATGTAACGGTGTATAACTTTGACTTCCCGGAACAGCCTGGCCGAGCTGGTTGTAAGGGAACACGGGTGTGTTAACAGCTCCGGGTACATATATCGGAACGTACTGCTGACCTCCATAAGCATTGTAAACGCCCTGAGACAAATATTGTCAGAAAAAGGTAAGATTCAAAAATACGTTGTAATCCTAAGAAGAAACCAGAACTTATAACACTTATGTGCAGTGCTGCTGACCTGAGGATAAATATAATCTCCGCCATATGTTGTGTACCTGCATTAATAATATCGAGGTAATAACATCTTCAAAGGTTAAGGTGTCGCAATAAATAGTTTGAATATGATTCAAGCATGTATATTATCCTCTATATTCAATTAGAGGAAATATTCTAGCACATAGGTTATCAAGAAGGTCTTAAGGCTAACCCAATGGGGTAGCTCAAGTAGCAAATGAGCTCTCTTTGTGGGGAAGAATTTCGGGTTACCCCGGGTCTGATTCCCACAAGTGACGATTCCCCTTGGGCCAGCTCCTGTGCCCCTCGGAGCGAGGGGGGATTAGTCGGGTGGACCTGGACTGTAAGACGTCCAGAGAAAGACCCGGAACACCCCGTGGTGCTCTAAAGCAACAGTTTTTTTTGTCGGTCATCACTCGAGAAAACTCATGCAGTAACAAATCTTAAAAATTCAATTAAGGTTAATCGGGTTGGTGCTTAATAAGACTATTGAATAACACGTCCTAAATATGACTAGGAAAATTGCATACATCATGCACAATAGCTTACCCGTAAGGAGAATATATAACGCCTTGTTGGTAGCCATAAGGCACAGCTTGCTGGTGGCTAAAGTTTCCAACATATGCCCCCCGTGTTGCTGGAAGGCTTCCAGGATAAGGAGCGGGTATCCTTACACGTCCTTAAGTGAGGATAAGGGTAAAAACACACAGACAAAATAAGTTATAACTCACAATAGATCAAAAAAGTCGGGCAAAAGAAACACACGAGCCAAAGTAGGATAAAGAATCTTCTATTCATATACAAAAGTTAGCAACGATTCGATTGCCCCCATCTTAGTCACAAACAATCTTCCCAAGCATGCAAAAACAATACGGTCCAACAAGGAGTTATGCATAAACAAGAGTACATAAGAAAACTATACAATCCTATTGTCATTGTCAATAGGAAGCATGTTAGTTAACACGAGAGATTGGAATCAATATGTATTGTGAAATCCAATTCGTTTGATTATTCTCCCGGTAAATACTAAATTACTAAAACTTACAACAATAGACTATGCTATGGATTTTCGAGTCTTTGATACGAGAAAAAAACAGTGATGCCTAATTTAGTGATAGAGCGTGTAGCAGAAGCGAGGAATCTTACCAAAAGGCAGAGCAGGGCGGGGTCGTCCTAGAGAAGCCAAATTACAATTTGCCCGCCTCCCATCAATAATTGGAGTTGGATCAGCACATGCTTTCCTAGCTGACTCGGGGTCCCGGAAGGTCACCTAAACCCTCCATACAAATACCATTTGGAAACTATGTCATTCAATTATCGTACCCATTCACAACTCCACAATACTTCCTCCTAAAGCCATATTATGATTGAATGAATGTACCCACAAGAAAATGGACATTGTACAGTGAAAAACCAAGTAACCTTTACTTCTTTTTTTCTTAAAAGTAAATTTAGAACGGATTAATACACATTTAACAAGATTCCAAGAGCAAGTTATTCCATTAGATCCTCAAAAGATAACATAAAGATTAAAACTTTGAAGAAGAAAAAGGCTGAGAAGAAGAATGGAAGACTCACAAAGCCGTAGCCTTTGGATCGGCCAGTATTCTTATCAGTGATGACAACAGCTTCGAGGATATCACCGAACTGCTCAAAGTATCGTTTCATGGTTTCGCTCTGAGTTTCCCAGGCCAGTCCTCCAACAAACACCTTAGTGAAAGTGGTGTCCCCAAAGGGGAAATTTAAGTGGTGAAATCCGCCGCCGCCGCCGCCGGCGGAGGTGGAACCCGAACCCGGAACCGGTGGCTGCTGCTGATGATGTTGATGCTGGTACGCCATCACCACCGCCGGGCTTTTAGCTACAGGCACAAGATATATACAGAGAGAGAGAGAGAGAGAAAGCAAGAGAAGATTCAGAGAAGAAAAGGGTATTAATTTGAAGTGATACTAAAGTTTTTGATCCAATGAAAAGTCCAACCCCCCCATATTAACACCAAACAAAAAACCCCCCCTAGAAATGATCTGGAATGGTAAAGCCCATAAAAATTTCTCAAGAAATAAATCAAGAATTCGAACAGGGAAAGACAGAAGCACGAGGATCAAGAAAAATAGAAGGAGAAAAAGGAAAACAGGACAGGAAAACCACAAGGGAAAAAGGAAACCCTAGAATTGAGGCTGAAAAAGCAAGGAGTAGGTCAAAAGAGGGAGTGGGGTAAGCTCGTGGTGGCAGTGGGGGGTGGGGGGGTGTAATCAACTCTACAACACAGCAGAATAATTTGAAGAGTGTAGGGAAAAGGTAAACAAACAAGCACATGAACAGGCAAAGCAAAAAAAAAAAAAAAAAAAAAACAAAGAAAAAAACAGAGTAACAAAGTTGTATTTACAGTCTTTACAGAGGTAAGAGAAAAGGTTTGATGAGTGTTTTTTGGGATCCTAAGAAGAGGAATAGTAAAGCAGGATGAGAGGGAGGGGGAGGAAGAAGAAAGAAGAAAAGAGTCATCATTCTCATCTCCGCTACAGCAATAGAAGAAGAAGGTGCAGTCTCTATCTAATCCACTCTCAAAAACTTAACGGAAAAAAAAGGGATGTATAGTTGTATACCATGTAAATGTCATACGGAGTATTAAATAATACACAATTTAATTAGTATCCTATAAATATAACATAATTTTTTTTTTGAAAACCAATATAACATAATTTAATTATTCGAGTGTAGAAAAAAAGACGCGAGCCTTTTTTACATTTAAAGAAGTTTAGAATAAGTGTCAAATATGTCACTGGACTTATTAATTTTATATAATTAAGTGATTGAACTTAAAAAGTGTGTAATTATACAACCAAACAAACAAATTTTGTGTAATTAGAGTAACTTTATGATTTCTTTTAATATAGCTTAAGTTGAAAACATTTTAATCTTTCATCGTAGCACATATCGTGTAATTAATATGATCAAAGTTTAAGGGAAATTTTTTGAAAAATGTGACATATTTTATAATGTTTAATGGTCTAATTGTACATTTTTAAGTTTTGCGGCCCAATAGGACAAAAATGATAAGAACACCCATATCAATGGATATTTTGTGATTTTTGGAAGAGTGTAAGATGATGTGGATGAAAGAGAAGCATGAGAGGGAATGAATTTTATCTTCCTCTAGTGAAGGGTTATTTGTGGACCCCAAGGAGAGAGAAAAATTTTAACAAATCTGCAAAAGAGCGCGTTTCGCGCACTGATTGCGTCGCACTAGCTGACGCGTAAATTGCGAGGCACTTTTTTTCCTTTGCCGTTAGACTTCAGTTTTTTTTCTCTTTCCCTCCTCTCTCTCCTAGTGACTCCTAAAAAACTGTGGAAAAAAAATAAATATGGATGCTCTGAGTTTAGTTGTATACTTAACACTTTTTTTCAAGAAATTCATTATCATTAGAGCATCAGAGAGAGAGAGAGAGAGAGAGAGAGAGAGAGAGAGAGAGAGAGAGAGAGAGAGAGAGAGAGAGAGAGAGAGAGAGAGAGAGGGGGGGGGAATATTTTTTTTTTTTAAAAGAAAGCAACCGTAAAAAGGTCAGTTTGAAATAAGTGTCAAATATGTCATTGAACTTATTGATTTTGTACAATTAAGTGACTGAACTTAAAAAGTGTGTAATTATACCATCAAACAAATAAAATTTGTGTAATTAGAGCATTTTTATGATTTCTTTTAATGCAACTTAAGTTGAAAATATTTCAATCTTTTATCACAATACATATTGTGTAATTAATATGTTCGAATTAAAAAAAAAAATTGAAATATGTTTCAATTGTACATATTTTACAATGTTTAATGGTGTAATTGTACATTTTTAAGTTCTGCGGCCCAATAGAACAAAAATGATAAGAGCATCCGTATCAATGGATATTTTGTGTTTTTGGAACAATGCAAGATGATGTGGATGAAGAAGAAGTGTGAGAGAGAATGAATTTTATCTTCCTCCAAGTGAAGGGTTATTTGTGAATTGTGGACCCCAAGGAGAGAAGTTTTTTTAAAAATCTGCAAAAGAGCGCGTTTCGCGCATTGATTGCGTCGCGCTAGCTGACGCGTAAATTGCTAGGCACTTTTTTCCTTTGACGTCAGACTTCAGCTTTTTTTATTTTCTTTTTCCTTTTTTCTTTTTTCTTTTTTCTCTTTCCCTCCTCACTCTCCTAGTGGCTCTTAAAAAACTGTGAAAAAATTAACTGATATGGATGCTCTAAGGGTATCATCAATAGTGGGATTTTTGTAAGTGTGATTTGTAAAAAGAAAATGGATGATGAGGTAAAATTAAATAATAAATAAAAAACGAAATGTCAGCCAAACAAAATAATAATAATAATAATAATAATAATAATAATAATAATAATAATAATAATAATAATAATAATAATAATAAAAGACTCTAAAAGCGCCAGACTAGGCACTTGTTTACCTTGCACGCAGGCCAGGCAGAGAAGCAAGGAAATATGGTGGGACCCACAATTTCTAAAAAAATCAAGGGCTTCCTGCAACATCACCACCTCTCACCTGTAAAAAACTTGTAAAATCCCCCTAATAGGAATGCTCTAAGTTTAGTCGTATACTTAACATTTTTTTCAAAAAATTCATTATCATTAGAGCATCTCCAATTGTTTAGTTTTTACACAATATTTTAGGAAGCCATGTATGATAGAGAGAAAGAGAGATGGAAGAGAAAAAGAAAGGGAAAAACAACATTTGACAATTTTATTTTTATTTTTTATTTTTCTAAAGGAAAGTAACGGTATAAAGGTCAGAGTGGCCGCCAGATGGTGCTGGAGCAAGTAGTGCTCTCCAATCACGCTCCTACACGTATTTTTTTTTTTAATTCTCCTACAAAAATCAAAGACTTTAGAAGAGAAGTCAAAATAATCTCTCTTCTCACCCTCTCTCTTCCACATCGGTCATGCTTCATCAAAAACTACACCAAAATCCACTTATGGGCTTACTCTAACATAAAAACATAATTTAATTATAAATATTGTGTTTTATAATATGAAAATACAGAGATATATCCTATAACAAAGACTATCCTATGCCTGAGTAATAGCATCTAAGTATAACTATTGTAGACTAGTCTATTACCACACAAATACAATCATATACTATAAAGGGAAAAGGGTCAAATAAGCCAACGAACTTTAGTTTAAAAGTCAATTAGGCCCCTAAACTTTTTAAATGTGCAATTACACCCATCAACAATTCATTTAAGTGCAATGAAGCCCAAAAACAAGTTAATGACCTGCTATCACAGGTCATTAGGGTTCAAGTCACTTTCCGACGAATTTTTCAACAAAAAAATGTGATCAACAACCGACCCAGATTTGCCAAAAATTTCGCCGGTTACTTCTTTTGTCGAAAATTTCGCCGGTCACTTTTTTTTTGCCGAAAAATTCGCCGAAAGGTGGCCTAAACCCTAATGACCTGTGATAGCAGGTCATTAATTTGTTTTTGGGCTTCATTGCACTTAAATGAATTGTTGATGGGTGTAATTGCACATTTAAAAAGTTTAGGGGCCTAATTGACTTTTAAGCTAAAGTTCGAGGGTCTATTTGACCCTTTTCCCTACTATAAATAATAATATGGAAATAATAGCTATACTAATATAGTAAATTACGGAGTATCTCTTTAATGAATCATCACTACTCTTTGTATTTTATAAATAACATTTGTATTTTTTTGTTTTTATAAATATTTAGTTTAGTAATAAGGTGCCATTGGTTTCAATGTTTAGGATTCAAATTTTATTTTTAATTTTTATTGATGGCTTAAATGTAAACGGGTAAAATAATAACACAAGAAAATGAAAGATGTCTGCACCGGGTTTTGTATTGATTACCTTTAAATTGTTATTGCAAACAGAATGTGTGTTTTGTGCATGGAAGCACATAATGATGCCTTTATTAATACAAATTTATAAACGTATACTCCGTAATAGTTACAACATACTGAGGCAATAACCACTCAGTCGTTTAGTGGGTATTAGGCCATCATTATTCCTGAAAATCCCTCTCATCACTCTCTAAAATGAGTCACACTTTCACATCATCAAATTTACAAATTATTTACTATTTATTCTATATCTCTGTAAATTTCTCTCACTTTAAAAAATAATCACACTTTCATTTTATATTATATAATAATAATAATAATAATAATAATAATAATAATAATAATAATAATAATAATAATAAAGAATTTTTTTTTAAAAAGTATGATTTTACGGCAGCTTTTGTTGCCAAAAGGCAACAAAAACTGCCTGTTGTAAAATTAAAATACAAAAAAATTGTTGTTGACAACTTTTTATGTACTTAGCAAACTTGCTATACACCTAAGATTATCGATAAAAAAAAAAAAAAAAATTTATGCAGTATGCCAATTCATCTTGCAAATGGATACGTTCGCCAGAATATGTTAGTCTTAACTCTATGTTCATTGTTCAGTAATCGATCTTAGTTTTTTGAACTTGGCAACAACTTACAATAGTGTTTTTTTTTTTTTTTTTTTTTTTTTTTTTTTTTTTTTTTTTTGGTTCTCCACTTGCTATGTTAACTAAGGTTTATGGGTCAAAATCCACAAAGGTCTGAACGTATTAGGCCAACCCTAATATTGGCTAAGCTTTGGACCTTAACACGAATTTTCTACTCATTTTTTAAAAGTTTTTTACCTATTGTCTAATTATTATCTCATTATATCTGCATAGGGTTTAATTTCTGCGTGGACATGTAAATCTGCACCACTAAGTATGCATGAATGCACCACCATATATTTAGAAATGTATCAAGGTGTGATGCACTTTTAGGGTGCGTTTGTGCATTTCACCCTAGTGCATTTATGAACACGTGATGGTGCATTCATGCATACCTAATTGTACAGATTTGCGCACTTGAAGGTCTGTCCATATTTGATCAATATATATATATATATATATATATATATATATATATATATATATATATATATATATATATATATATATATATATATATATATATATATATATATATATATATATATGAATTTTCGTGCGGTTGGCTACATGAGGTGGCGTTGTGAGATGAAATGAGAATCATTGATCTTGTCAAGATCAACATCCAGGATTTTAACAAGAATTTAAAAAAAAATGCGGTGACAATTTGATCTTTTTGTATCTAGGTCAAATTTAAGGTGCATAGTTTTTGTGTTTAAGGTGCGTGGTTTTTGTGCTCTGTGTTTAAGGTGCGTCAGTTGTTGAAACTTAAGTGCGTCAATCTAAAGTTTTAACTGCGTGATTTTTTCTTCTTAAATTGTGTGATTTGTGTGCTTAAAGTGCGTCAATTGTTAAAACTTAAGGTGCGTCGGCCTAAGTTCATCAATACCATATTGAAAAATTCATTTTAATTTGTCATACACTCATATGACATCACAAAATACCCTAAAAAAAAAATTAAAAACAACTCTTATTTCTTAAAATATAACTTTACATGCACTTATGCCACTTGTGTTACTAATAAAATTTGTCATTATTATGATACTCTTATGAATCTTATAATTAACAACGTTAACCTTTTAAATTAAAATGCTTTTTTTTTTTGAACAAATACTGCAATATATAAGATCAGAGCAAATACAACTATGACTCTATCATACACTCCATATTAAATGCTATCAATTTGAAGTGTGGAGGATAATCGAGTGTCGTCAACTTTTTAGTTAATGCTTGACAAGCAAATCCTGGTATAACTTAATTGATATTTGCACACAAGATTAAGTGCAAATAAGATTTCCAATGGCTAATGATGGGTTGTGGGTGTATTGGGTGAAAACAATGGCGGAGCCACAATGGGGGCAGCTGCCCCCACTCTCCATCCAGTCCTATTTATATATATTGTATGTATATATTTCTTGTATGTACATAGTTAACTTATAAATATTAAATTTACATAAATTTAACTAAAGAATGAGTTAGTTTAGATGGTAAGATATTTAGTTTTCCTAATTCTAATTGAATTTTTTTATTTGTAACATTATTTTTTTTTAATCTCATATTATAATATTTTTTTGAAACATCTCATATTATAATATTAATAATGATATTAGGGATTATACTATGTTTTCTATTATATTTCACCCTACTGACAAAAATTTCTGGATCCGCACATGGGTAAAAAAGAGATTGGCGGGCGTGACACGTGAGAAAGGCAAGCTACGCATAAGCATTTGTACTTTGTCCTAACATTGTATTAGCTGTGGATGGACCACTCTATGTAATAAGGAATTTGGATGATGATATTTTGTGACTATGGAGTCAAAAAAAAACACGAATAGTTTGATCATTCGAATACGATAATGTTTGGATTCCAAACAGGTAAGCTAGCATGGGATGTTTGATTTAGATTATATATCATGTAATCTCGATACTGTTGATGTTTGAATGTTATATATTTACATTTAGTTTTTGGATAGTATTTTAAATACTGTGAAATTTTAGATATAATAATTTATTTCTTAAGATTGTGTTTTGGGTTATATGGTGAAAAGTCTCATAAAATTTTAAATAATATAATGTAAGTTAAGATTGTGTTTTGGGTTATATGTTTAAAAGTCTCATAAAATTTTAAATAATATAATGTAAGTTAATCAAATGTGATGTAAACCGTAGTTTGATAAGAAGATTAGATATTGTAAGGAAGTTTAGTCACTTAAATACTTAATAAGATATAACTTGAATCAAACGTATTTAATACTTGGCATGCATGCTCGTGATGTGAACCATGGCTTATTCGTGTGATGGTAAGGTTAAGTTTATTGTTGACTATTGTCTTAAGATTAATGAGGAAAAGATAAGGTGCAGGAGATTGTTTAGGTATTCGGATAGAGCTTGGATTGCGGGATTTGCATATAATATAAATGTTTGTGAAGCGGAAGAGAATGAAACTTGGGTTGTGATAATGGTCGGGGTTACAAATTGCATGGGAAAAGGACATCAATTAACTTGTGTGAAGTGCAATTCACCATGAGAAGTAAATTGGTTAAATGGACATAAAGGGAAAGATATAATGTGGGGGGCGATTATTAATCTATTGAAAGAGAGTGTAGATTATTGATGAGAATATACTAGGATATTCAATTGGAGCATATTAGTAAGAGCAACTAATCTATTTTCTTATCAAAACTTCTATTTTGTATGCCTATTGGTTGCATGTAATCGAGAGATCTTTCCTTCATCTTTGAAAGATCGTGTAAGAGAATTTGTTAGGTGTCATACATCCTAGAAGGGTCATAGTTCCCATGCTATTTATGATCGGATTGCCCTGTAGACTGTAGTAGATAAAAAAAATACATGTAACATTTTTTTTTGAATGCGAATACATGTAACATTTATTTTAATTAAATCATATGAATTAAAAGCATTAGTTTAAAACTAATCTGATCAACACTTTGTGTTGTAATTAAGCCAGTTTGATGCGAACGTGAATTAGTCTGACTATAATACAGATAAAATTTAACTAGATTATTTACATTCAATATAATCAATATATGTGTAGTATGAAAAATAATGGAAAATTCTATTCACACCCCCCTTTTTACTATTTGCACCACCTATATAATAGGTCAAACCACTTTATAGGTGGTGCTAACTAAAAAATGCTATTTACACCCCATCATTTAATGTGGTCAAAAGTCTAATATTTATTTTATATTTATTTTTATTTTACAATCAAATTATTAATTAAAAAAAAAAAAAAAAACTTGTCGTCACCTTCTCCGGTGAGAAGGCAGCCCAGTGGGTCGCCTTCTCCGGTGAGAAGGCAACCCAGGTAGAAATCTGCCTGGGTCTCCTTCTCCGGTGAGAAGGCGACCCACTGGGCTGCCTTCTCACCGGAGAAGGTGAGTATTTTTTTTATTTTTTTTATTTTTTATTAATTAATTAAATTTTAATCAAAGTATTAAATGCAAGTTTGACAAGGTGGTGCAAATAGCATAATACACATAAACTAACATAATACACATAAACTCATAACATAATACATATAAATTCATAACACAATACCGATAAACTCTTAATTTAATACACATAAACTCTTAACATAATACACATAAAATCTTAACATAAAAAACAACATCGTTTTGGGCAGGGCGCACGATATAACAATTGTCTTAATAGGGGTTTTCGCCTCTATATTACAAGAACGAAGATGGAAAAAATTTTTGAAAAATGAAGATAGGGTCCTAGGGATGAGTAATATGTGTAATTTTAGAACGGGGACGAGCATAGGATACCCGTCCCCACCTCATCTGTCCCGAATAATTATTATAAGGTGGAATGAAGGAATTAGGGAAAAAAATTGTAATTTGGTGAAAAAAAATAATAATGTGGAAATAAAGTAGGAATTCAAATTACATTGTTTGGTATGGAGGAATAAAATTATTGAGAATGAAAAGGGAAAAAGTTGAGTAGTTATGTTGTGCATCCGTATGCACCATGCATGGTGCATACGGATACAAAAACGACGTCGTTTTATTAAAAACGCGCATCTCCCCTTAAAAAAAAAATTCAGGTTCGATTCTCAGCAACAACATTATGTTGTTCATTCATTCTGGAATTTTAATTCATAGATTATGGAATTTTAGTTCATTGATTCTGGAATTATAGTTCATCGATTCTGAAATTTTAGTTCATAGATTCTGGAATTTTAGTTCATTCATTTTGGAATTTTTAGTTCATAGATTAGATTATGGAATTTTAGTTCATCGATTATGGAATTATAGTTCATTGATTATGGAATTTTAGTTTATATATTGTTGCTGGGAATCAAACATGAGTTTTTTATTTTAAAGGGGAGATGCGTGTTTTTAATAAAACGACGTCGTTTTTGCATCCGTATGCACCATGCATGGTGCATACGGATGCACAGCATAATTTGCCGAAAAAGTTATATAGAGACTAAAATGTCTGTTGTGTAATAATAATATAATAATAATCAAGAGTAAAAAAAAGTCTTTTCTTTATTTTTTTCCTTTCCTTTTCCCATTGAATTGCAATTCATATGTGGAAGGGTATGATTTGCAATTAAGTGGGATTGCAATCTCCTTCAATCAAACACGGTAATTCGGGTGGCCAAAGAATTATGTTGTAATTGAACTATAACTTCATCCAATCAAACACCCACAACATGTTATTCACATTTTCACAAATGATGAACCTAGTGTATAAAGTTTATGAACCCAATTTATCCATCTTAGTAACAAGTCAATTTTTACATTTGCTCTCTTAAGTTTAAAGGTTACTAAATGGATATTTAACCGTATGACAAAATCTTGAACAAAATTAATAATCAAGGGACTCATTTATTGTCAAATTCAAAGTCAATGATAAAAATTGAAAAATATCAATAGTATCACAATAATAACTCTTACATACATACATATAATAATATCACAATAATCAATGACTAAAAATAAAATTTAAAATTTTTTCCCTCTCAAAAGTCACTATGATCAGCACTTTGCCTTATATTTGGGCCCCGGTACGAACTAGGATTTTTTTTTGAATGCTATTGACTCTATTACAATGTAGTATATGTTCATAAATACATTCTCAACCTACTGAAGCACAAAGAGCTAATAACATCTCCACTAAGGATTGAACTCACAACTTTCACATGAGAATCCAACTCGGTGCGAACTAGAATTAATCTGAGTATGACACGGATTTAAAGATACCTCCTACAATTAAGATATGCTCAGTGATAAAAAAAAAAAAAAAAAAAAAAAAAAAAAAACTCATTATCAACACAAAAAGCGTTATACAATAATTATGGCTTTATTTCACTGGTGCGGGTAAATCATCCTTCCTAGTTCCTGCTCTACCTGTATTTTCACTATACTTTCTGATACAGTCGGAGATCGTCGATAGATTGATAAACCTAGCTAGTAGAAACCCAGATTTGAATCCGGTGGGCGTTCGTTGTTTCCACCCTACCCAATTCTAATCTAGGCGGGCTGTATTGGATAGCAAGACAAGGATTCGTGAGGGAAGTAATCAGTTCACATCGCCCGAAGTCTTTAAATGGATAGTGGGTGGAGGAGGACGTTGGGGAACGTGAGGTCCTTCTTCGGCAACTTGACCGGAGGTTTAAGGGGAGGTTCCAATTTGGCATCGTGGGTCGTCGCCGGAACCCTTGCTTACTATCTCTGGGTCAAGCCTGCTCAGGAGCTCAAGCGAGAGCAAGAGGAAAGGGCTGCGCTCGCCGCTGCCTCTGATCGTTATCGTTACGTTGAGAAACGGAAACCAATCCCAGATCCTCAGGTAAATCTCCCCGCCCTTCTTTCTTCTACCCTATAATCAAATCCTTCTATGATTTCTTTACAATAATTTTGCCTTTTCGCAGGAAACTGGATTGATATATGGTAACAAGAATAGAACTAATAAACCTTCCCAGGAATGACTTGGGAGCGATTGATTGCGTCCGCCTGTAAGTTAGTTTTGTTAGAGGGCTAATCAGCTGATAATTTTGTGTTCCTCGAGAGAGTTACATTTACTTGTGCAATCTTTACATTGAACTGCTGCTGCTATATATATATATATATAATATATGCATCCTTCTTGGAAAATAAAGCTTCAAAAGCAATGATAGAAATTATATAAGTCTTTGCTCTTTGTTGATTCAATTTTGTACTATCTCAGATAATGTCAAAACACCTTTGTTATATATATTCCCCGAGAAATAGGATTTTTTTTTTTTTTTTTTTTCTGGAGATTGATTGCTTATATGAATGACTGTTTCTATGCTATGTGATGCCTTTAGACTAGTTTTAATTGTTATGTGAATTGTTCTTTGATGTGTGACCAATTCTATTTTGAACTGTTGGAATGGTGTGAAAAGAACTCATGCATGGTGGGAGGTATTGTAGAAAATTTGATTATTTTGAGTTTGGTTTCGAGGACTATGCTAAGTATAAATACCCAAAATATGGTTAATAAAATAACACTTTGCAACTTAAAGTGAGGCTTTATAGTTCTGGAACTATGAACTACACAATTTAGGATGCAAGCTAATATGATCAACATATTATACTCATTGCCATTGTTTTCTGGAGCTAAAGCTAAGGTTGTACTTCCTATAGTCAGGTTGTAAGTAGGTAATTGTGGATTGCATGTTATAATGGGAAAAAGCAATGCCAAAAGAGCGGGCAAGATGGCAATGGCCCAGAAGAATTGGCCTGAGATGACAATGATCATTCGGTGGTTTGTGTGCATTATTTGGAATCATGGGGGCTAGCTATTTGCTATTTTGATAGCTGCTTAGTAGGATGTAAAATGTTATACCAAAGCTTTGCATTACTATCCTGATATTACTAAGGGTGTGAAAATTTTAGTGAAAAATTGGTTAACGAACTGATGAAATTTGGTTTGGCTTCTTTTTTTTTTTGTTTAATTGAAATATTTAGGTCTGATCAATGATTTGAGAGTTTTCAAAATTTAGTGATTGGTTAATTCGGTTTGACAATTTGATTAACCAATTGAACTTATCAGTTAACTGAAATTCTTAATATATGTATATATATTGATAATATAGTCCAATCCAAATAAATATATATTAGTAATATAAACCAAAATTATTGGTAATGTGAAATTATGAATTAATGTACTAAAACATATCAATTCCGGTATTAGCTGGCCATTTGCTAAAATGTTGATTCCTGCTAGGATTGTTTTCTTGCTTTTATTAATGTGTGCGTCTGTGCGATATTGAGCTATCCCTGATTCCCTGGTCGCATTGGGCCTATGCATGCTACATGCACGGGGGCTGTTCAGACATGATTGGATCACGTGGTATTGGATGCTTCTTGATTGTTGGGTTACTGCTGTTTGCTGGACTGCTATTAGGATTTCATTGAGCAACATGGTGTATTGTTACATTTTGTTATACTTGTCTAGGATTTTAGCTAGGAATTGGATAGATAGTGGAGTGAATTCCTACATCCTTTTATTATACTTGGCACTTATGATGGGTTAATTTTAGGTTTGTTTGTAAGAAAGCGTTTGTTCCTCTTTCCAGCATAGTCTCAAAGGAACTTGCTGGTGCTTCCATTTTATACTATTGTTTGCAGAAATGAAATAGATTTTCTTAAAAAATAATTACTTGTTGAAATTTTATTTATAGTTTTAAGGGTCTTTAAAAAAATTATTTTGACCAATATTATTTCAGTTTGTTGAAAAACAAAGGGTTGTGTTTGTTTATGCATAGTTGCTTAGTTAAAAGTTATGTGTCTGTATATATATGTACTATGTTTCTTCATTAGAAACATAGAATTATAGAAATATACTGTAACCTTTTAGTATTATAATACATTGTCTCATTCTTTGATTCTTCATCTTTGTTTCTGCCTAACTGGTGGGTAGTTGTTATTCTCCACCTGCCAGACCTTTTGATCTTTCAAATTCAACATGGTATTAGAGCCTATGTTTCCTAGGCTATTTTCCTTCCAATTTCCAGCAACACCTATTTTTCGGCGTAAACACTAAACAAGAGTCCGTGACTGTCTCTTGTTTATGAATAGGTGCTTAATTAAGAGTTATGTGTCTGTATATATATGTACTATGTTTCTCCACATAATTCTAGAAATATATTGTAACCTTTTAGTACTATAATACATTGTCTCATTCTTTGATTCTTCATCTTTGCTTTTGCCGAACTGGCAGGTGGTTGTTATTCTTCACCTGCCAGACCTTTCAATATGTCAAATTCAACACAGTTAATCGTTAGGGCTGATTATTATTAGGAATTTATCTGATATCCTTCTAGTGCTGTTCTGTTTATGCAGTGAAGAAAGAGCCTTAAAATGTAGTCTTCAATTGTTTATATTCATTTGTACTATACATCTAGCAATCAAAGCCTCAAAGTAACGGCTGTAACGCTGTCTCTAAGGTTGTAGCTTCCATTACAATGATAGAATCTATATACTGAAACTGAAAGATCTTAGTTTGAACACATAGTTATGTGTCTGAATCTTGTAAGATGTTTCATAAGAAGCTAGGTTGCTTTCAGTATTTATCCTTTTGGTGAATTAACATCCCATTCACCTTTATGTGGACCACCCACCTCATCTAGTTCAGCATACATGTCCTTGGGCACATTTTAACTGGTCGACCAATTTAACATAAGTTGATTACTTTGCTTTGATAGTAGCCGCTAGTCGACCAATTTAACATAAGTTGATTACTTTGCTTTGATAATAGCCGCAGCTGCTGGGCACTATTTTGCAAGTATTTGGGAGCCCATGAGTTGAGACATTCCACAATTTGCCTCTTTCACCAAGTTTTCAGGGCCTTTGGAATTAAGGCACATCCCGTGATTAACCTCCTTTAAGAGCCTTGGGATTATGATGCAATTTTTTTTAGTTCAGCATATGCAAATTATTGTGTGGACTATGGTTCACACAGTGCTGTGTAAACTATATAAAAAAATATTTTTAATATACTAAAAATACATTATTTATATTCTGAATGAATGTACATTATTTGATAGAATGTTCCACACAATACAAGGAATGTATTGTGTGGACCATGGTCAACACAATAATGATTGTTCAGCATATAACCCAAATTTCAATTTAGTTTGGATCCACTGCACCTACCTACCAATCACTTATCTAATCTCATTTAGTAAATTTACCAAACAGCTTCACGTTAAAAACATGATCAATTATGTAATGAAGTTTGGAGCAATGCAAAAAGTTGGCCGGCATTTTGTGAAGTAGGTCAAACATGTGTACAAAGTAACATGGTTACTAGCAAAAATCACTAAGCATTTTCTTAAAATAAAATAATACTACAAACCAATGAAAAAAATCAATGACTAAACAAGACAATAGGACACTTGTTTCAACTCATCAGATTGAGGGAAATGAGGTGCTTGGTAAATATCTGTTAATTGATTGGGTTAGTGAGTTTAACTAGTTTATAATAATAGTTGATTGTTTAAAGATGTTTGGTAAATTAGTTGATAACAGATTACATGCAAAATGACTTTCACAAAAAGATAATTGAAAAAGTTGCTTTGAACAGCTTTTGAATTTTAGCATTTTGGAGCAAAAAATTGTTACAAAAAGTTAATTAATCAAACACTCATATTGATTGTTTAACAAAGTCAAACAGCTAATAGTAATCAAACAAGTCAAAATTAACTAATAAACTAACTATATTATCAAATAGCACCCACCGAAATCTCAAACCTCCATAGTTAAGCAAGAAAGTAAGTAGAAGTTGATAATATTTTGGTGTGACAATATAATATTTCTAGACAGTGCTTTTAGGGCTCTATTGTTTGGTAAGAAGCCAGAAAACCTCTGGGCCGGTTTTGAACTATCACTATGCAATAACCAAGATCAGAGTATGCAGCAAACAGTAAGTTTGAAACACCACATCTATAAATAAGGTACATTCAATATATAAATAAGGAATAAGGGTCAAATAGGTCATCCAACTACACACCAAAATGCAATTAGGCCACCCAATTAAAAAAAGTTACAATTAGATCTCTAAATTACACAAATTAGTACAATTTCACCAAAAATGACTTGTTTACCTGTTGTGTCGATTACAGAATTAAAAATAATTTTTAATCGTTTATTTTAATAATTTTAAATAATAAATTATTTTAAAATTAAAAAAAAAAAAAACAGTCGGAGAAGGTCTCCGTCCAGCCATGGAGAACCCTTCGTCTCCATGGCTGGCCGGAGACGAAGGGCTTCGTCTCCTGGCTGGACAGAGACGAACGGTTCTCCGTCTCCGGCCAGCCAGGAGCAGGGGTGTAAAAATCTATCTAGGCGCCCGCCTAGGCGTTAGGCGCCTCTAGACCGTGGCGATTATCCCCTAGGCGCCTAGGTTACCGGCCGCCTAGGCATCCGCCTAGCGCCTAACTCGGCCGATTTGGCCGCTTAGCGTCTAAGTTAGTCGAGTTAACTCGTCCATTTCAGTCGAGTTAACCTGATCGGCTCGGCCTATTTTTTTTATTATATATATGTGTGTGTGTGCGCGCGCGCATACATATATATAATATGACATATATACACTCGTAGACTAGTTTGATACTTTGAATCTTTGGATGATTGAAGTATTTGAGTATTTCATATTTGAGTATTTTTAATTTTTAATATTGTTTTAATGTTTTTTTTTTTTTTGAAAACCATTATTTTGATGTTATGACTTATGAATTATCATTAATTCATTTATTTGGATGTGTTATTTGATTAAATGTTGAAAATAAACTCATTAAAATTGTCAAACTGCAAGTCTACCACTGTTTTTTTGGCGCCCGCCTAGTGCCGCCTAGACCGCCTAGGCGCTAGGCGCTGTCCGGACGCCCGACTAGCGCCTAGTGCCTACTGCAACCATGACCAGGAGACGAAGGGAGCCCTTCATCTCCGGCCAGCTATGGAGACGAAGGGAGCCCTTCATCTCCGGCCAACCATGGAGACGAAGGGTTCTCCATGGCTTGCCGGAGACCCCTTCGTCTCTGTTTTTTTTTTTTTTTTTTTTTTTTTTTTTTTTTTTTTTAATTATTATTTTTTAAATTTTAAAATAATTTTTTATTTTAAATTATTAAAATAAAAGTTAAAAAATTATTTTTTAATTTGGTAACCGACACGTTAGCGTATCAACAGGTAAACAAGTCATTTTTGGTGAAATTGCATAAATTTGTGTAGTTCAGG